TTGATGGGGATTGCATCGACTCTATAGATTGCTTTTGGTAGGATTGCCATTTGTACTATGTTGAGCCTACCCATCCAAGAGCATGGGAGATCCTTCCATTTTCTGGTGTCCTCTTCAATTTCTTTCTTCAATGCCTTAAAGTTCTTGTCAAAAAGGTCTTCACTTCTTTGGTTAGTATTACCCCATTATATTTTATGTGATTTATGGCTATTGTGAAAGGTGATGTTTCTCTGATTTCCCTATTAGCTTCTTTATCATTTGTGTATAGGAGGGCTACTGGTTTTTTTTTTTTTGAGCTGATCTTGTATCCTGTCACATCACTGAAGGTATTTATCAGCTGTAGGAGTTCTCTGGTAGAGTTTTTGGGCTCACTTATGTACACTATCATATCATCTGTACATAATGAAAGTTTGACTTCTTCCTTTCCAATTTGAATCCCCTTGATCTCTTAATGTTGTCTTATTGCTATTCCTAGAACTATGTTGAAGAGATATGAAGAGAGTAGACAGCCTTGTCTTGTTCCTCATTTTAGGGAAATTGCTTTGAGATGATGGATGATTTTTTTATGTGTTCTTGGATTTGGTTTGCCAGTATTTTATTGAGTATTTTTGCATCCATGTTCATGAGTGAGATTGGTCTGTAATTCTCTTTCTTGGTTGACTCTTTGTGTGGTTTTGGTATCAGGGTAACTTTAGCCTCATAAAAAGAGTTTGGCAATGTTCCTCAAAGTGGAACACTTTGAGAAGTATAGGTATTAGCTCTTCTTGAAAGTGCTGGTAGAACTCTGAACTAAAACCATCCAGCCCTGGGCTTTTTTTGGTTGGAAGGTTTTTGATGACAGCTTCTATTTCTTTGCAGTTTATAGGTCTATTTAAATTGCTGACCTGGCCTTGACTTAATTTTGGTATATAGTATCTACCTAAGAAAACTGTCCATTTCTTTTACATTTTCTAATTTTGTGGAGTACAAGATTTTGTAGTATGACCTAATGATTTTCTGAATTTCCTTAGTGTCTGTTGTTATGTCCCCCTTTTAATTTCTGGTTTTGTTGAGTTGGATGCTCTCTCTCTCTTTCTTTTGACTAATTTGGATAGGGGTTTGTCTATTTTGTTGACTCTCTCAAAGAACCAGCTCTTTGTTTCATTGATTCTTTGTATTGTTTTGTTTCTATTTTGTTGACTTCAGTCTCAATTTGATTATTTCCTGTCTTCTACTCCTCCTGGGTGAGTCTGCTTCTTTTTGTTCTAGAGCTTTCAGGTGTGCTGTTAAGTCTCTAGTGTGAGCTTTCTCCGTTTTCTTTATGTGGGCACTTAGTGCTATGAAGTTTCCTCTTAGCACTGCTTCATAGTGTCCCATGAGTCTGGATATGTTTGGCCTTCATTTTTATTGAATTCTAGGAAGTCTTTAACTTTTTTCTTTATTTTTTCCTTGATCCAGGTGGTTCAGTATTTCACTGTTCAATTTCCATGAGTTTGTAGGCTTTCTGAGAGTAGTCTTGTTGTTAAATTCTAACTTTAATCCCTGGTGATCTGATAAGACACAGGGGGTTACTCCAATTTTTTTGTATCTGTGGAGGTTTGCTTTGCTACCGAGTATGTGATCAATTTTAGGGAAGGTTCCATGAGGTGCGATAAGAAGGTATATTGTTTTGTGTTTGGATGGAATGTTCTATATATGTCTGTTAAGTCCATTTGATCCATGACTTCTATTAGTTCTCTTATTTCTTTATTAAGTTTCTGTCTGGTTGACTTGTCCATTGGTGAGAGTGGAGTGTTGAAGTCTCCTACTATTATTGTGTGGGGTTTAATGTGCCATTTAAGTTTTAATAATGTTTCCTTTATATATGTGGGTGCTCTTATATTAGGGGCATAGATGTTCAGGATTGATACTACATCTTTATGGATTGTTCCTGTTATGAGTATAAAGTGTCCTTCTCCATCTCTTCTGATTGATTTTAGTTTGAAATCTATTTTGTTAGATATTAAAATAGTTACACCTGCTTGTTTCTTAGGTCCATTTTATTGGAAAACCTTTTCCCAACCCTTTACTCTGAGGTAGTGTCTGTCTGAGGTTGAGGTGTGTTTCTTGTATACTGCAGAAGGTTGAATCCTGTTTTCATATCCATTCTCTTAGCCTGTGTCTTTTTATAGGTGAATTGAGTCCATTGATATTAAGCGATATTAATGATCAGTGGTTGTTAATTCTGGTTATTTTTCAGTAGTAGTGTTTGTGTGTTTCCCTTCTTTGGGCTATGCTGGTGGGGGGGTATTAGTTGCCTGTGTTTTTGTGGGTGCAGTTAGCTTCCTTGGGTTTGTGTTTTTCTTCTAGTATTTTCTGTAAGGCTGGGTTTGTGGATACATATTGTTTAAATCTGCTTTTATCATGGAATATCTTGTTCTCTCCATCGATGGTGATTGAAAGCTTTGCTGGGTATGTTAGTCTTGGCTTGCATCCGTGGTCTCTTAGTGTCTGCAACACATCTATCCTGGACCTTCTGGCTTTCATGGTTTCCACTGAAAAGTTGGGTGTAATTCTGATAGGTTTACCTTTATATGTTACTTGACCTTTTTACTATGCAGCTCTTAATATTCTTTCTTTATTCTGTATATTTTGTGTTTGATTATTATATGGTGAAGGGACTTTTTTTATACAGTCTATTTGGTATTCTGTAAGCTTCTTGTACCTTCATAGGGATATCCTTCTTTAGGTTGGGTAAGTTTTTTTCTATGATTTTTTTGTTGAATATATTTTCTGTGCTTTTGAGCTGGAGTTCCTCTCCTTCTTCTATACCTGTTATTCTTAGGTTTGGTCTTTTCATGGTGTCACAGATTTCCTGGATGTTTTGTGTGAAGAATTTGTTTGATTTAATGTTTTCTTTGACCAATGAGTCTATTTCCTCTATAGTATCTTCATCACCTGAGATTCATTCTTCTATCGCTTGTATTCTGTTAGTTATACTTGCCGCTGCAGTTCCTGTTCATTTACCCAGATTTTTTATTTCTAGAATTCCCTCAGTTTGTGTTTTCTTTATTACTTTGAACTGTTTGCTTCCCCAGTTTGATTGCTTTTTCTTGGGTTTCTTTGAGGGATTTATTAACTTCTTCCAATTTTTTGTTTGTCTTTTCTTCCATTTCTTTAAGGGAGTTTTTCATTTCCTTTTTAAAGGTCTTCATCATTTTCAAAAAGTTACGTTTAAAGTTGTTTTCTTCTGCTCCTTCTGGGTTAGGATGATCAAGTCTTCCTGTGACTACTGGGTTCTGGATGTTGCCATGTTGGTTTTTTAGGTTGTTGGAGGGATTCTTGTATTAGCACCTACCCGTCTTGTCCTTCAAATGAGGCTGGCAGTGTCTTTGTGTCTTGGTCCAATTCTTGCTGTGGCTGTCTGAGTGTTTGGGAGTTTTTCTTGGTCTGCTCTGTACTGTCAATGTCTGTCTCAGAATGCCTCTGAGGTCTCCATTAGCCTGCTTTCTTCGTCTTCTCTCCTGGTTCGCACTCTTGGTGCTCTCTCTTGATCCCCTCAGTATTGTAGCAAGCTCTCAGCTCTTAGGCAGGGTGTGGCTAGTAGCTTGGAGGGTCCATGGATGGGGTTGGGTTTGCGGGGAGTCAACCTGCAGGAAATTCTCTCCTGGCTGGCTAGAAAAGCCAAGGAGTTGGGGGAGAGGCCTGGGGTTTTGTCCCACTGTGGAGGTCCTAGAGAATGGGGTGTCCTGCCACATGGCTGTTCATTTACCTCTTAAGTCCCTTCAGTATTCCACATTTTTTTTTTTAGATTTCAGAGATCTCATCAGCATGACAGCCTCAGTGAATGAATTTGATTGTATAAAACGTTGTTTAAGCCAAAGAAGGAAGCCCTTCTGTCATCATTCCAATTGTGTTCAAATCAGGCTTAGCATAGGAATTATGACACAGGATCCATGACCAAATGTCTGCGCTTCTTCACAGGGCAGAGCTGAGCACCTGTCAAGCTCTAGCAGGGTTGGTGATGGCTGAGGAGTCTCAGGGACCTGAGGGGTTGGAGATGGATGGTCTTTCTTCCTGGGGTTCTGAAGACCCTTGCTATAGGAGCTACTACTCCTAAATGGCTGTGACCCCACATGAGTCATGGGGGACATGAGGAGCTTGGGTTTCCTAAAGGTGACCGCAGTGAAACAGGTTTAACCTCTGGAACATCCAGATCAAATTGGGGCGAGGACACCTACCTGGGAAGCAAGGGATGTCCATCTGCCCAACTTAGGTCACTCCCTCTCAATTGCTATGTAGCCTCTACCCGCGGAGTCTGTCATGGGGTGGGAGCTTCTGTCATCTGGTGAACATACTTTGTCATCCTCGTGTGAACATGGAGATGCCACAAGGTAGAGACACTGGCTTGGTGTGACTGAGCTCTATCCAGCTCTTGGCTCCGTCCATGTGTGCCAGCCGTGGGTGGGAACAATTCATCTCCACATTACCACCATCAGCCGTGGGTGGGAACAATTAATCTCCAGAAGAACCTGCTTATCACCATCAGCTGTGGGTGGCTGGGGGCGGGCAGAGCTTTACATTACCCCAGGCACCTAGGAAGAGGTCCATCTAGTGCAGTGGTTCTCAGCCTTCCTAATGCTGTGACCCTTTAATACAGCTTCTCATGTTGTGGTGGCCCCAACCAAAAATTATTGTTGTTTCTATTTCATAACTATAATTTTGCTACTGTTGTGACTGCAATGTAAACATCTGTGCTTTCCAGTGGTTTGGGCGGTTGTGGCCCACAGACTGAGAACCACTGATCGCGAGTCCTACAGGAAGGGTCTTCAAAACCCCAGGTAGAAACTAGTTGACTTCCCAGTTTTCAAACTTGCAAGAAACCAGTGACTTCCTCGATCTCATGGATGCCTTGCTAGTAGGGGTTCTGCCCCCCCCCCAATTCCTCCCATTCCTCTGGGGGACCTTGTCTCCAGTTCTACTCGTTATCATTGTGGTCCCTTATAGGATTTGATATCCCGGACTCTCTTTCCTTCCCACAGTCTTTCACCTGTCCCACAAGGTCACCAGTATCGTCCCTGAGAGTGCTCTGCTCATCGTTCTGGGCCTGGTGCTGGGCGGCATCGTCTGGGCAGCTGACCACATTGCGTCCTTCACACTCACACCCACGCTCTTCTTCTTCTACCTGCTGCCCCCCATCGTATTGGATGCTGGATACTTCATGCCCAATCGACTCTTCTTTGGTAACCTGGGCACCATTCTGCTATATGCTGTTATTGGCACTATATGGAATGCAGCCACCACAGGACTGTCCCTCTATGGTGTTTACCTCAGTGGCATCATGGGTAAGTCTATATATGGCCCTCTGGGTGAGTCCAAGTCACTCTGTTGAGCCAAGGTAAGGGTCCAGATCACAGTCGTAGGAGGGTTGCGGCTAAGGATGATGGGCAGTATCTCTCGGGACTACTAGCCTAGTATTTGAAAGAAGGTTCCGTCTATAATATGCTTCTTTGGGACATCTGCAAACTGAGGCTGTTTTGTTACGTTCAGTACAGATTTGTGACCACACGGAGCAGCAGGATGGGTAGGTGTGTATAGGCAGCTGTTCTTACTCCTGTCATAGTTGGCAGTGTGGTGTGAACCAGCTGTTCACCCCCCTAGCCTCATGAGTGAATTACAGAGTTGAGCACCCCAAAGTCTTGAGTGATTTGTGCTGTTTCTGCTCAAATCTGCTAGTGATTACTTCACTTAGCCTTGGTTACCTCCCAGGAACACTCCACCCTCTGTGCTGAATCTTTATCCAGTTGATAGACAGTAGGTGATACCTGAGCAGGTGTGAGTAGATGTTCACAGGAGGACTCAGAGTCAGGACTTTCCCTTTGGCACATTCAGTGAGTGAATGAGGCCCTTGAAATCCTAGAGACCAAGGAGAAGAAGAGACCAGTAAACCCAGGAACTATCAATTGCTTGGGATCTTATCTTTATAGGAAGTTCCCTTGAATTCCTGCATCACTAGAGACCCCAGTGGTAAGGACCTGCCTGGCTTATGAAACTATAGGCATCTGCTCTGGAAGGGGTGCTACTGGTCACACTGGTGATACCATAAGTTGGTGGGACACATCTTAGATGGCTGGCTGCCTCTGCCCTGGAGAGATGTCTTGGGATATGGAGCAGGAACTTCTGGAATCTAATACCCATAACCCTTCAAGGGTCATGCTGGCCCTCACCCAACAGTCTTGTCACCCATAAGATCCCAGCATGTGATGCTCCCAGAGATGTTTTTAGGGTGCATAGAGAAGCCTCTAATGGACTGACTTATGGTGTAAGCACAGGCCTTTAAATAGTTGAGCCTTGGCAAATACACTTACACCAGAAATTGCATGGTCACCAAAATCTAGAGCATTTTACTCTCCCGGGACATCCAGACCCATCTTTCTAGCAGGCCATAGCCATGAAGAATTGTTATACCACAGTGTCTTTTAATAACGAGCATTGTTGTACATCACTGCCTACAGACCCCCCCATGATAGACAAGTGATGTTGGCCTGTGTTCCACCTTTGGGAACTAGCTGGTCAAGGCTGACCAAGAAAGATCGTACTGATCCCATGAGCTCCCTTTCCTCTGTGACTTTGGCTGATGGTATACCCAGATTTGCCTAGGCAGTGGTCAGTCTCTGTAGTCCGTAGCTCAAGGCTGGGGCTCACTCATCCTTACTGGGAGAGTCAACTTAGGCTAGCTGTCTTGCAGCTTATCAGTTCCAGGCACGAGGCAAATATGGGTGCACTGTCCAAGCGGGAGGGCCAGTCCTGATTTAATGAACTGTACATCTGCTGGGATCCAGCTTGTTTTTGGAATGTACTCTGTTTCTGTCAAGATTCTAGAACAAGAGTCTGGCCCTGCTAGGGTAGCCTTGAAACTAGTTTGCTCTGGAAAGCTGGGCAGGGCATTTATGGTGTGGCAGTCAAGTGTGTGGTCCATTTCTTAATGGAAACTCCAGAAGGCTTTGCTCGTTAGAAGCAGCAGAATTTAGTAGTCACAGATGAGGGCACTCTGTTCTGTGCCCTTTACTATTTCCTAGGGCACACTCGATACCTGAAGCACTTACTTCCCAAGGTTCATCCCTTGGTTCTGGGATGGCAAGTTCTGCCCCAGCTCAAAAAAGAGAGTGAAGCACTAACATGGGAACTGTTTAGCCTTACACATTCTTGGGATGTCTGGCTGCAAGCTCCAGTCTCAGATTTTCTTTGTCATTGGGTAGCCCTGGGAAGAGTTGTGTCTACCCTTTATTCCTGATGCCTCTGATCTCCTAGGGACCTGGTAGAGTGATCCAGGTGGCAAGACCTTGTACCATGGTCCACATCTGTTGCAGGTGACCTGAAGATTGGACTCCTGGATTTCCTGCTTTTTGGTAGCCTCATTGCTGCTGTGGACCCTGTGGCTGTGCTGGCTGTGTTTGAGGAAGTCCACGTCAATGAAGTTCTTTTCATCATTGTTTTCGGAGAGTCACTGCTGAATGATGCAGTGACTGTGGTGAGTGATGGTGGGGTCCCTGAGGAAGCTACAGAACATTTCACTTGCTTGGAAGTTCTAGGATACCTTGACAAGTGGGCAGTACCAATATGCCTCAGATAGCTAAGCTAGGAAGAGGGATACTATTTACACATGGTCTTTGTTTACAGCCATGTTTGCAACGTAGGATGTACAACACCCTGCAGGGTGTATCCTTCATCTGTCCCTGCTCACTGGTGCAGCAGCCTTGGGATATGAATTGGAGGGACAGGCTCTGACCTTCTGATTCCCTAACTCAGCTTCATCCAATTTATCTCTTTCCCAATCTTAGGCCCACCCATTCCATGCCTTTGGAGGTAATTCTGCCCTGCTGAAATCCCTATATTTACATCCCCCAGAGGACTATAACTTTGGACCCACACTTGCTACTACACACTAGTTCCTGAGAAGTAGACAAACAACGAAGTCTTACAGGAATTGCATTCATCTGTGGGGCTCACCAGTAACAAAACACCACAGAAGCTGGGGCTTAAACAGTGGGGATTTATTGTTTTAATGCTCAAGACTGGAGGCTGAGAACCAAGCATGACAGTTGGCTCTGGAGGCCTCTTTCCCTGGCCTGCAGATGCCATCTTCTGTGTGTGCCTGTGTCCTGCACTCTTCTTATACGAGATCTACTCTATTGCTCTCATTTAACCTTAGCTGTTTCTTTGAAGACTTCCTATCAAACAGCAGCATTCTGAGGTATTGTGGTCAGGACACAACATTAAGTGGAAGAAACACATTCAGCTCCTCCAGTGAGTCAAGAATCCCCTGATAGCATCTGGGGTTTCTTAGACCCAGGCAGTGGAGAAAGCATAGGGTCTCCATGAGGATGAGGTTGTGTTCACCCTGGCAACAAGAAGCAGGTTCATGAAACATAAACATTGCTGTTGTTTCAGAACAGCGCTATGGAAATTTCATAACCTGTCCCCAGATGGACTACAGGTCTGTGGGAGGGGGTGAGGGGTTAACTGGTAAGAATGGGCCTGAACACTTAGCTGATACCTGAGGAAGTGTGTCTGGTTTCTTCTGCCTTCTGGAATTGCCCATGTCTTATGCTCTCTTGAAGCGTGCACTGTAACAGATTTCTGTGTGTGCAGGAGGCTCTAATGGCCCATCTGAGACCCAGTCTGAGACTCAGAAAATAGCTTTTAGTCTTCCTGAGTCTCAGTGGCCCTGAAGCCTCCTGTGGACTAAAGGTTACCTCCTGCCCTCATGGTTCATGCTCTTCCAGTGTTCCTTGAGCATGTCTGCAAGAGCACAGAATAAGAGTCAGAGATTGGGCCTATTTCCTTGGATCTGGGACACCCCCTCACCTGCACATCCTACTTGCTGGTTCCTCTGACCTTTTCCTGTTGGCCACTGTTACTTTGTGCTGGCTTTAAAAGTGTTTTTAGTTGTTTCAGGTGTCAACTCTGGGGCCCAAATCCAGAAAAGAGGGGGTACTAAACAGGGAGGGCTCAGTGTGGATGCAGGGCTGATTAGATATGTTCCTGTCTTCTGTACCCTTAGGTCTTGTACAATGTTTTTGAGTCTTTTGTGACACTGGGTGGTGACAAGGTGACTGGCGTGGAGTGTGTGAAAGGAATAGGTATGTATCCTGCCTGGTTCCTGGTTTTAGATACAGTGGTCAAAGAATACAGAGGCTTGTCTCCTCTTTAGAACAGAATCCCTGGGACTTCTGCTATCCTGGTGTCTCCTTTCCCAGAACACCACATAAACACTATTGGATGAAGGTCCTGGGGTGTGTTCTTCAGAGAAAGGATAGGGACAGTCAACCCCAGGTCTCCCTAAACAAGGACGGATAGACAGTGTATAAGGACACAGGGTTCAGATCTTGCCACTGACCCAAAGCTGTAGAGATGTCAAGGCAATGCTCCCTACCATGGGGTCCTGTCTCCTGTGTACATGGTCTCTGTCCTCTGCCTCCCGCACTAAAATTGAAGACAAGACACTCTCTCCATAGAAAGCAAAGTTGCCTCATTTACTAAACTTTCAGCATTGCTGTGAGCAGTTATCAGGAGCCCTCCATGAGGAATGACTGGCCAACCTGGCCAGTTTCACTCACAGTACCAACCACAAAGGACAATTCATTCCTTTTTCTCACAGTGTCCTTCTTCGTGGTGAGCCTAGGGGGGACTCTGGTGGGTGTTATTTTCGCCTTCCTGCTGTCCCTGGTGACTCGCTTCACCAAGCATGTGCGAATCATCGAGCCTGGCTTCGTCTTTGTCATTTCCTACCTGTCCTATCTGACCTCCGAGATGCTGTCCTTGTCAGCCATCCTGGCGTAAGTCTCCCTCAAGGAATCACCTTCTGCTGTTGGCTGGGTTGGGTAGGTGGCTTTCTAGCTGGTATATGCCAGAGATCCCCTGCACTCAAACATCCTGGCAGAAGGTGCTACTGTGAACAAAGGGGATATTGGGCTCTTTGCCATCATCCTGGTGAAGGGGCTGTGGGAGTGAGTCTGGTCCCTGCCTACTGTCTCTTCTTTGGAGTGTGAATTTCAAGCCCACTGTGTAGCTTCCACCTCCATGGCTTTCATAGTTGGGTAGAAATTTATTGTCAGGGGCAAAGAAGTCAATCTAATTTTTGTTTTTTGAGACAGGGTTTCTTTGTGTAGCCTTGGCTGTCCTGGAACTAGCTTTGTAGACCAGTCTGGCCTTAAACTCACAGAGATCTGCCTGCCTCTGCTTCCCAAGTGCTAGGATTAAAGGCATGTGAGACCACTGCTTGGCTTTATTTTTTTTTAAAAAAATAAGAAGTTGATAAATCCTCAGAATTGTCCTTGGCTAGACACATGCCTACTGAGAGGGCAGGGTAGGTGTGTGGAGTGGCTTGTGATTCAAGAATGGTCTGACCAGAAACCCTATTAGAGTCTCTGTTGTCATGCAGCCTCACACTTAGGCAAAAGCTGCGTGACACCCAAGTTGGCCGCAAGCTTCTCCAAAGGCTACTATGACCTGGTTACCAATCAGCTACCAACAGGCCCACAGGCTTGAAGGCTGTTTCTTCACTGAAACTCCACATCTAGTCTTAGAGCATGGGAGCAGCTGGGCAGACCTAGCTCAGGGCATTGATTCTCAGGAAGAGCAGTGTGCACACAACACAGGACTGTCCACTTTAGATTACATCTGCAGAGGCCTGTAATGCCACCAAAGGAAGTAGGGACGGCAAGAGCTGGGCCTGGAGACCTCTGGTCTGAAGCATCAGCCTGCCTGAATAGAGGCAGGGAAACCTCACACTGCCCCTTCTCCAGCATCACCTTTTGTGGAATCTGCTGCCAGAAGTACGTGAAGGCCAATATCTCAGAGCAGTCGGCCACCACTGTGCGCTACACCATGAAGATGCTGGCCAGTGGAGCAGAGACCATTATCTTCATGTTCCTGGGCATCTCAGCTGTGGACCCACTCATTTGGACATGGAACACGGCTTTTGTGTTGCTGACGCTGGTCTTCATTTCTGTCTACCGAGCCATTGGTGAGTGTTGGGGCACTCATGGTAGTGTCTAGGCTCCCTTAGTTTAGAGTACAGATTTGAGGGCCCCACGGCAGCTCAGTAATAAATCCAACCATTGATCTCTATAAAGGCCAGTATTTCTCAAAGTGCAGCATGGGGACCAATGAGGCACCAAGGGACAGGATCAAGGAACTGGAAATAGAAGCTGGGGTGAGAGCAGCACTGTTGCCTCTTCCTACAGAGCCCTAGCCAGTCGACCCACTGCCCAGCCTTCACAGAGGGTCAAAGGGCTTTAGGGAGCCCTGAGGTGAGGCCCTGGAGAAAGCAGCCACGGAGCTGAGTGACCTCTCCCTACAGGTGTTGTTCTGCAGACCTGGATCCTGAATCGTTACCGCATGGTGCAGCTAGAGACCATTGACCAGGTGGTCATGTCCTATGGTGGCCTGCGTGGGGCAGTGGCCTATGCCTTGGTGGTACTTCTGGATGAGACAAAAGTCAAGGAGAAAAAGCTGTTTGTCAGCACCACTCTCATCGTGGTCTTCTTCACAGTCATCTTTCAGGTGTGACTCCTATTGCCCAGGGCACTGCCTCAGGGTGCCCAAACCTACCTAAGAGCAACTGGCCCTATCTCAGCCCTGCAGGTTGAGTGTTCCCAGATTTTACACTTTAATTGGTTTTTATAATTTTAGTTATTAGGAGCATTTTGTAGGTTTTCATGTGGCCCCACAGGGGACATAGCATAATTTGTTCTAAAAGTGTTACTTCCTGGGAAGGACTTAGGAGAACAGACCTAGTTACTTCCTGACTGCTGACTGGTCAAACAATAATTGGCACCTACTACACCTTGGTATCTGGCTGGTCAAAGTGACAGCTGGAGGTTCTGAGGTCTATATGGACATCCACAGCACAGGGGCTTTATAGGGCAGTGCCCATGGGTTTGTGGGTCCCTGGATTGCCTACAGAGGAAGAAGAGATTGAATGTCTGTCTGGCTTGTGCTTAGAGGGCCCTGGGGGCGGGGCGGTGTGGGGATCCGGCCTGCCCCATTAGCGAGGTTGTCTTTCAGGGCCTGACCATTAAGCCCCTGGTGCAGTGGCTGAAGGTGAAGAGGAGTGAGCAGCACGAGCCGAAGCTCAACGAGAAGCTACACGGCCGGGTAAGGAGAGGGTGGCAATGTGCAGCCAGGGGAGGCGCAGCCAGGGGAGGCTGAGGGTGAGGATGGATGGCCAATGAAGTTTCTTTCCTCTGAAAGGCTTTTGACCACATCCTCTCAGCCATTGAGGACATCTCAGGACAAATTGGACACAATTATCTCAGAGATAAGTAAGTAGCTTAAGCTGTAACATTCCTTCTTCTACCAGTGACCACTCGGACCTGTGGGTCCTACACATGCAGACAGGGCCACTAAGACACTGGAAGCCATGTCAGCTGTGCTACCATTATTTAAGACCCACAAGACACAATTTCTGGAGGACCTCTCCATTCAAAAGAGCCAGAGACAAACTGAGTGGTAGGCTGGTCTTGAAGTATAAATGTTGGGGACAAGAATGAACAGAGGACAACCCACGGACATCTTGTCAGGTGTCTTCCATTCCCAGGTTAAGGGCTTAAATGTGAACTAGACTCCTGGGTGCGAGCAGGTAAAAAACAAAGTTAATATTAACTGAGAGAACAGAGCAACCACCAGTCCAGGGACCTGAATCTTATTCCTGATGATTGTCCCAGTCATAGAGACACCCTTTAACTGACCAGTTAATGTTAAACTTAAATAACGTAGGAATTAAAAACCAGGAAAATAAATCACTTCCCTATTTCATTAATAGAGGAAAGGTGTGTTCATCTATATCTAAAATTATCTTGTTCATGAAACAGAAATCATTTATATTTTACAACATAAAGTGGTACTTAGAAGTATATGACAAAGCATTTAATTCACCCTTGTTAATGCCTGTTTTGAGATAATTACCTAGAGTCCATGTGAGGTTGCAGAGCTAACTTGAATATTGCACCCTAGACAGTGATGTATCAAGAATTGGAACTGTGGCTGCTGGTGTCTTAATCTTAGTCCTGTCCCCACAGCACCTGGGAGGTCAGGTGGTCACTTGGAAATGGCATATGGTTTCACTGCCAGCCACTGTCAGTGGGAGAAAGCAAAGGGTGAGACCAGAGGTGGCTAACCTTTCACTTTAAAATTCTCTTTCAGGTTGTTACAATAAATAAAAACCAGGAGAAAAAAAGACTGATCCTATATTGTGCCTATCTCTGGCAGACATTTACCTGTTCTGACCTTGCTCTTGTTCTTGTGAAGCAGGCAGCCCCAGACTCCCAGTGCTGATGTGATATTTTGTCCCGTAGGTGGTCCAATTTTGATAGGAAGTTCCTCAGCAAAGTCCTCATGAGAAGATCAGCTCAAAAATCTCGAGATCGGATTCTGAATGTTTTCCATGAGCTGAATTTGAAGGATGCCATTAGCTATGTGGCTGAGGTATGTGAATATCCTGTGTCCCTCTGCTAAAGTTGAGGGCTATAGTAAGACAATACATGTGGTCTAGGGCATGGGCAGAGGGCAGTGGTGAGTGACCCTTGTGCTCTGTGCCTGGATGACTCCCTGCAAAAGCTCATGTGAGGCCTGGAGTTGGACTCTGGGAATAGGGCATATCAGAGTTTCCTGTCACTCAGGAATCAGAGGACTGGCACAGTGACTGTCTAGATACTGTGGTTCTGGTAGAATTGAGCATGGTAACCATGATAGAGGAGTCTGAATGCCTGTATTTTCCCTAAAGAGAAGGGAAAAGGTTGGGAAATAGAGAATATGGGCCCAGGTCTTCTACCTATTCACACATATATGTTGTACTCAGCAACAAGTTGGTAGATACTTCCTACTGGCTGACAACCTTAAGGAGCAAGCAGCCTTACATGAACATACACAAATGCATACACATGGCTTATACATGCACACCCAAATATACAGGAATGATCACATATACATGCATGAACATATACATACCCAGGTACGTGTGCCCTCATACATACATACATGTTTACTTTTGAACACATGTATATATATATATATAACACAGACACACATGTACACATTCATATGAACTGCTCCAATGACACACGTGACTATCTTGTGGCCAGTGCATTCTTGACCCACCCATCCCTATCTGGGCCCCTTAGCATCCTTTATATATAGACACAGGTTCAACCAGGCACCCTATGACCTCATGGCTGTTGCCACTCAAGTAATATTGTGGTGTTCAATCTGAGATGCCTCCTCTCTTGGGCATAACTAGGTGCCCCTGGCACCACATCATGGATGGAGGATAGGAGTGAAAGTGTGGGGGGAGGTCCCTGGCAGTCACTGTCTCTGCCTCTGAGAAGCTCTTAGCTCTGACTTCACACTGGTCAGGACCCTAAGCCTCACTCCTGTCCCTACTGCACCAGCCAGGATGTCTGAGCTTTGTGACATCTTTCTCATCACTGCTGGGGGAGATGGCTCCAAGTCCTGCACGGTTGCTTTGTCTATATCATCCCTTCCCCACCCCTTGATTCTTGTCTCCCACCCTTGAACAGGAACCCCACCGCCATTTCAGCTCTGTCTCTGCCCTAAGGGTCACCTGACTTCTTTCCTGATATCCCCTTGAGATGGGGAGTGCCTGGTATCAATGATGATATGGGAGAGACCACTGCCCACACATGAGGAGGATGAATTACAAAAAAATAAAGAATACAAACAACAATGGGTTTAGAATAAAATGACCAAAAGCCTCAGCCCATATCAGTGATACGCCAAATACCTTGGAGTAGGCAGTCCAAGCCAAGTTCCAAAGATAGCCACACAATCCCACCCTCTTTGAAGGGCTCCAAGAGAGAACCTCACAAACTGTAAAATACAATGATGTGTTGACATGATTAAGGGAGGAACACACCTGATAGGCCATCACCCTTCTAACCCTGGCACAAGCTGTCCCCCAGGGACTCTACCTGAGGCCATAGTTTACTGTTGTCTGTGAAATCTCAGGAGCCTCTCACTTTGCTCGTTCACAGCCCCTAGCTAGGAAACAGCTTCTCTATCCTCCAGTAATTCTGCTTGCTGCCAGCTCTGTTCTGTGTGGTTTTGATTTTCATTCAAACTAAGGCCTGTGGGTTGGTGGCTGTGGTGGGGACAAAAACTATCTCTTGCCATTCTTTAAGTGGGGGTAGTATATCCTAGACTTGCCAGTGTCCTTTAAGAGATTCTTTTCCGCCGGGCGATGGTGGCGCACGCCTTTAATCCCAGCACTTGGGAGGCAGAGATAGGCGGATCTTTGTGAGTTCGAGGCCAGCCTGGTCTACAAGAGCTAGTTCCAGGACGGGCTCCGTAGCTACAGAGAAACCCTGTTTCGAAAAACCTAAAAGAGAGAGAGAGAGAGAGAGAGAGAGAGAGAGAGAGAGATTCTTTTCCTACCTACTATTCTGTCTGCTCAACTCTTAGCTCTGCTCGTCTCAAGTGATGCTCTGGTGGCCTCTACAAGGATCTAATCCCAGCTCCTACTCTGTATCTTGGCTCTTGCTGAGCTGTGAGGATGGACAGGGTCCACCTCTGGGCTCCATCTCTACCTCCCAGAGCTGACAGGCTCTTGAGCTTGTTCTCAGGATCTTTTGACTTCTCTGTGGCAGGTGATGCCTAAGGCTCATCCCTGAGTACTAAGGAGTCTATGTCCTCCTTATAGGGAGAGCGCCGTGGGTCCCTGGCCTTCATCCGCTCCCCGAGTATGGACAATATGGTCAACGTGGACTTCAGCACACCCCGCCCATCTACTGTGGAGGCATCTGTCTCCTATCTCTTGTATGTGACCAATTCAAAAACTTCCCTGGGAAAGGGTACTCTTTAAAAGCACCTCTCTCCTGACTCTTAAGCCTACTAGCTCCTTCTGCAGGTCCTAAGGCAACTGAGTCAGGAGAGTGTGAGTGGACCAGAGTAGGAGAAGGGTACAAAAAGATGCCTGCATCCCCATCTGTGGGAGCACACCTTTACTCAGCAGTCAGTGGGACTGTGTGGTATACTTATATTAGGGGAAGGGCAGGAAAGGATAGCAGCAGATGCCTGACCTGGTCCAGCATTTCATACCCTCTTACTGTGGGCAGCTGACGGCCAGTTGTTATGATGGTGGCTGTTCTAGATTTCCAATGCTTAGGAGAGACTGTGGGCCTCAGCACTCATAGTTGGGCTGTGGAGGGGGACTGGTGGCAGTGGAGTTCATTCAACAGAAGTGTAGATGGCATCCTAGGAGACCATCTGAGCAGTACAGAAAGGGACTTCCAGGTATCTAGGCAGGGCAGGAGACCTCTGTGTAATTATCCTCCTGGCTCAATGTTGGTCCATGCAGGAGGGAGAATGTCAGCGCTGTGTGCCTGGATATGCAATCCTTGGAGCAGAGGCGGAGGAGCATTCGTGATACTGAGGACATGGTCACTCACCACACACTGCAGCAGTACCTGTACAAGCCTCGACAGGAGGTGGGTACTAGGGGATGAGACACCCAGAGCCCCCCCATCCCCCAGAGTAAGCCTTTGCCGTCCCTTCTGTGCTGTGTCTGGTGGAACCTAACCACACACCTACAGGAATGTCTGCCTCCTTCTCAGACAAGGGGTCTTCATGGCTGAGCTGGAGGTTTTGAGTCCCCACCTGGGCCATACAGGCCCAGCTGACTGTCCCTTGCTCCCACAGTACAAGCATCTCTATAGCCGGCATAAGCTAACACCCAACGAGGATGAGAAACAGGACAAGGAAATCTTTCACAGAACCATGAAGAAGCGCATGGAGTCCTTTAAGTCAGCTAAGCTAGGCATCAACCAAAACAAGAAGGCAGCCAAGCTGTACAAGAGGGAGCGTGCACAGAAGCGGGTGAGGAAAGGTGGGGTCAGTGGTTGTTGGGTGGGCTTCTAAATAGTGGGAAGAGTCAGGGAACCCTGTGGTTCTGCTGCCAGGAAGAGGCCCTTGGGGTCTCGGACAGAAGATGAAATGTCAGCAAGTTGGGGAACTGGGTGTTTGTACCTTTGTAAGAGCTCATACTTGTCCACAGAGGAATAGCAGCATTCCTAATGGGAAGCTGCCTACGGAGAACCTGGCACACAACTTCATCATCAAGGAGAAAGGTACGACCTGCTTCTCTGCACGTGCTTGATTCAGAAGGGACTTCTGCCCCTGCTGGTGGCTGTACCCAGGGATTCTGACCCTGGGCCTCCACACATTCCTTGTTTTGGGGGTGGTGGTGCCACTAGGCCATTAGTGCTCTTCTCTGCCCCTCCTGTTGCTGTACCATAGAGAAGCACTCCTCCTATGGGATGGAGAGACAGCTTAGTGGTTAAGAGTGGTTGCTGCTCTTCCAGAGGACCCAAGTTCAGCTCCTAGCACCCACATAAGGCAGCTTAAGCAACCTGTGACTCCAACTCCAGGGAATCTAATGCCTTCTTCTGCCACCGTGGGCACTGAACACACACACACACACACACACACACACACACACACACACACACATCTTCTTTAAAAGATAGAGGACTTTCTCGATTCTTTTCATCGTAGGCCTTGAGGTTCCAGCTCCTCCTGTCCAATAGACCTTCCCAAAGACCAAGTATGGTTGGGGTCACAAAAGGGAGCACCATAGGAGTGACTCAGGTCTTTACACAGCTGACCCCAGCCACTTGGACACTGGGTTGGTTAGGTTCTGTGGAAAACTGTGTGTGTTGGGGGGCGGGGAGGTGGTGGTGGGGATTATCACCAGCCATAAAGAACTCGAGTCATCCTTACCCATTTTTTTTTTTTCCTCTGCTATCCAGATTTAGAACTTTCAGAGCCCGAGGAGACCACCAACTATGAAGAGATCACTGGGGGCATTGAGTTTCTGGCCAATGTCACCAAGGATGTAACCTCTGAATCTGGGGCAGGTGAGATAGGAGGGGCTGGTGGAAGAGATGTCCCTGCTGCCCCAAGTGAGCCATTGAAGGAGGAACCAAAGGCGGGGGGGGGGCACTTACTATAAGTCTTGGAAGTGCCACCTCCTCCACTTAGATTTTGCCCCAGAGCAGACAGCAAGTATATTACCAAGTCTGAGAAAGGAGAGATGTTGCCATCTTGTCTGGGTCGTATGGGGTCTCAAAGGTAGAGGAAAGGTGTTGGAATGAGGGTTAAGTGTCTAGGTCTGAAGGTGGTAGCCACAAGAAGAGCTGACATAGTCACAGTATAGAGCCCATCCCCTCAGCCTCCTTCTGCCCCGGGGGGAACTTCTTAGAGGTTGACCAGCTGCCCTTTCTCTTAGGAATTGATAATCCTGTGTTCTCCCCTGACGAGGACCTGGACCCAAGCATCCTATCCAGGGTGCCGCCCTGGCTGTCCCCTGGGGAGACCGTGGTGCCCTCTCAGAGGGCCCGTTTCCAGATTCCCAACTCTCCCAGCAACTTCCGCCGTCTGACACCATTCCGCCTCAGCAACAAATCAGTGGATTCCTTCCTGCTGGCCGATGGCCCTGAGGACCAGCTCCATCCCGCGTCCCCTGAGTCCACACACATGTAACTGGCTTCTTCCTCTAACACCTGCTTTCTTCCCAGCTATTGCTTTCCGGACTCTTTCCTGGACCCGCACTTTTTCAGACTTTCCAGCAGCTCTCTTCACACTGTGGACCTTGTCTTGGTCATCTGTCCAGCTGTGTATTTCTGTATTAGGAGACTGGTGGACAACTTCCATTTGAGCCTGCTTCTCTAGCTAGCTAATGTGTAGTAGACAGAAACATTTGAGGCCGGGCATGATGGTATATGTCTATAACCCCAACATTTACAAAAGACAGGTAGGAGGACTAAGGGTTTGAGGTCAGCCTGGGCAACACAGAAGTATCCTGTGGTCAGGTCTCATGTTCATTTCAGATGAAAGTGCTTCTCTCTCTCTCTCTCTCTCTCTTTTTTTTTTTTTTTTGGTTTTGTTTCTGCTCTGGTGGACATTTGTCAGTCTAGTGGAAACGAAATGAAACACACAATTGTAAATATTGGAAATTCTGGTCAGCATTCCTGGCAAGGCCTGGCATTACACACACACACACACACACACACACACACACACACACACACACGACTCTTTCCTAAGATAATCCAATTTTGAAATGATGTATCAGGGTCAGGAACTCTGCATGGCCCTAGTGCTCTTCCACCTGCTCCTTGCTTCTGTCTCTGGCCTTATCTCCGCCTTCCCCAATCCTTTTTGAGACAGGGTTTCCTTGTGTAGCCCTGGCTCTCCTAGAACTAGCTTTGTAGACCAGGCAGTCCTGGAACTCAGAAATATGCCTGCCTCTGCCTCCCAAGTGCTGGGATTAAAGGCCTGACTTTCCCCTCATTCTCAAACCCTACCGATTTGAAGCAGAGCCTTGTGCTCCTGGAAGCTTGTGATAGGTTTCTGGGGTAGAGGAGTAGTACCCGGGGGTGGGTATGACACTGATGTTCCAGTAGAGGGGGCAGCTATCAAGGGCAGAGTTTGCAAGTGTCAGAAGATATCTGGATTGATCCAGATCTGCTGGCTGCGTGGTGCACAGGTGTACAGCTGCCTAGGAAGGTTCACTGACACTCGCTGGAACTCCCTGCAACTCTGCAATAGTGTACAGCAGAAAATGCCCTCACATTTGGTGTGGAAGGTTAAGGGTCCCTCCTTGCACTTGAGCAGGTACCTGGTTTGGGGAAAGCCACAGAGGAACAGCAAAATCGGGGAAGGGAATCCTGGGCTGAGTACAGGTTTCTGTGGGTCACTGTTCCTCTGGACTGAGAGCCACTCACACCCTGTCTTCCCGCAGGTGACACAGGCTCTGACACACCGCTTACCGGAAGCTTGTATTCGCATTGGCCATCTGCAGCTGCTCAGCAGCCCTTGCTCCCTTCACGGCTCGCTAGCCCACGTGCTCCGAGTCCCGTCCCACCTGAGCGCGTCTCGCCCGGTACTTTCGCCTCCAGTGAACCTGGGCCGGAGCCAGAGCACCGGGCCCTGCCCAGTGCGCATGCTCGGTCTGCGGCCGCGCGCCGCGTTCACAGCCGGCGCTCCTTCCAGAGGCCTCGCCCTCGCCGCCGCCCAGCTCTCCTCAAGCTCGCCTCTCTTCCGGGCTCTACTGAACTGCCTCCACAAGCTCTGGAGCAAGAAGAGACGCCTTTGTGATCGCTGCCTGGCCTGCGGCCAGCTCCAAGAATCTCCTTCAGTGGCCCCTCCCCAACCAGCTAGGGTTTCTTAGGGTCCACTGCTCTCTGGGAGTCTTATGCCTGGTCTGGCCCTAGGAAGAATCTTTTCACCCTCCGGGCATTCCCAGGATATACACTGCCTCCGCCGTTTTCTTGCCCTGGTTCAGTCCTTACTGCTCCGAGGTGCTGCGCCCCCAGTTCCCCAACACCCCCACACCCACATACCAAGAGAGCACTTGTTAAGTATTTACCACTCTTACTCAAAGAGGAGGAAGACCCCTGAGAGGCCTGTGGTGGACCTCTTATCACTCTCTAGTACAAAGGTCTTACAAATTAATATTTGTGGAAGTTGCACCGCCAAGCTCAGACGCATCCTAAAAGGGCAGCAGGTTCCTGTGCATTTCCAGGGATACATACCTCTGAGGCCCTTTAGACCCCCTTCCAAGATCTCCAGACTGAAGAAATATTTGTTCCAATTTTGGCTCCTCTAGCTCAAGGGACTTCCCATGTTGGGTCCCTCCCAGCCTGGGCCTTGCCCACACAAACAAGGTGTCTTGCCTGAGCTGTCCCTAAGGTGGGAATACTGCAGATGGCCAGGCTGGTTGGGCTGGGGACTAGAGGGGGTCCACAGGAAATCTCTGGCTTCATCTACTGAGGGCAGGGAGACCTGGGGACATAGAAGGGCTCTGCATCACCTAGAAGGGAGGCATGGTCACCTTTCCTCAGAAGTCCAGTCTTGTCTTCTTGGACTTGACTGAGTTTTGCTTCCAGCCCACTGGAAATTTGGCCTGTACCACAGGATCTCACTTGAAGGAGGCTGAGATGAGGCTAATGGTGGATTTAGGGACCTCCTGGAGACTTCTGAAACAAACCACTCAGCTCTCTGCTCAGGAAACTAAATACTGTGTCTCAGGAACAAGGTTGACAATTACATTCACAGGAGTCCCAAGAAGGTCCGTCAGTTTGTATTAATGCTGCAATTGAAGCATGGATAGGAAGAGTGGACAATTTCCTATTCACAAATCAATGAATACACAGTAAATTTGCACAACGTACTGCATTCTACTTCAGGGTATCATTCCCCAAATGAACCTGTCTGTCGGCACACTGTTGACTGGCTAGCTCAGGGTGTCATTCCCCAAATGAACCTGTCTGTCCGTACACTGTTCACTGGCTAGCTCAGGCTCAGCCATTAGATGCTCACAATCTGGTTTTCACAGCTTCTCCCTTGAAGCATTTTGACCATTTCTGAAATGAAGTCCAACCACTGTAAAGTGAATGCTGTGGTCAGTAATCCCATCAGACGCTCTGGAGCGGCCGCTGGAGTACCACCTAGGTAGGCTGTGCCTGGCTACTGTACCAGAGGTGTTCCCAGAGGCACCTATCGATCCCTGCTTTGCAGACAAGTTTCTCATGCCTGCCTGTGCCAGGACATTGCCTTAACCCACCACCTGATTTGTTGGACATGGAGTCTAATTCCCACTGCAGAATTAGAAGCCAAGTCTGACTAGACAGTGCCTCAGGGGCTGTCACCTTGCAACAGATATCCAGATACCAAAGCTAGCAACCAGGTGATAAATCTTTCTACACTCTGTCCCTGTGTTTTAGCCGACAGGCTACGTTCTTTGAGTTTGTGAACTACACCTGGGCATAGCCACATGGAACCAGAATTTTGACAGGAAAGCCTCATTCGCAAAAACCCATTTCCTGTGCTTAGATGACATGGTAGCTACGTTTCATAGTTGAGGACCCTCCCCCCCCGTCAATGTTGTACAATAGAATGTAAAATCCTATGAATGTATTTCCTTAGGAAAACTGTTGTAAAATTTTTTTTTATTAGGAGAGAATATTTATTTAATACTGAACTTTGACCTACTTTGTGGTACTACAAAGTCCACATCTGTATTTTCTTTAAAATAATTTTATTACAGTGTTCAATATACTATGTATTACTGATCTTTTTGTGAAAGAAAATTTAAAGATTTCATCAAAACTAGAAATATATTTTGAGAGGATAAAACTGTGTATTAATGTTGTGAACATAATCAAGTTGAACTTTGTTTAATTCTGATCACAGCATAATGTGCCTTAAAATGCCCCTCCGATGCATTGGGCAGCATCTGTACAGGGAACAACATCAAAACTGTAGTGACTGCTTATCTAAAGTCTATTAAAAATATTTCAAGGCATTTTGGGTGCAAACTTTGTTTATAAATGAAAAATCATATCCAAGATAATTTAGGAACAGTTTGTTATGCATTAAAATTCAGATGAACAGATGGTGTTTTGGGGGTCATCCTATTAGGGGTGGGAAGCTGTTGAATACATTGATGGAAAGCCTCCAATTTAGCATCTCTCAGATATAAAATAGACCAGAGATGATTGATACACACCCACCATGGCTAAGAAGTTGGTTGAGGTGCTAGAGACACCAAAGTGGGTGAGTGGGAAGGAATGGTGAGAAAGGGCACCAAATCTGGTGGGTTGAGACCAGACAGTACAAGGCAGAGATGTGTGGTGGAGTCTGTTAAACATCAAGTTTATAGTTCTACAACACATCTTTATTTTAATTTAAAAACATTATTTAAAAAATTGCATACAGAATCCCCAGATATTGGCTATATACAAGAGGAGCCTTAACTGTTAAGTAATATATGATATACTGGGTAAACTAGCAAAGAGCACAGATTGGGTAGCTCATAAAGTCTGTTTCATGCTGTAGAGGCAGACATCTGAAGGCCAGGGGTTAGGAAAGTCTTGGCTTTAAGGGCTGCTGGCATTGCCACTCAAGTACGCACACTATTCTCATGCGACGTCATTAAAACCTTGATACACATCACACTTGCAATGATTCTACTTTCCACCCAAGTCTGATTCAAGGTTCTAAGGTTAAGACCTTAATTTTTCTTTTTAGGGGTCACAATTCATTCCATTAAAGTACGAAAGGAAGTGAGCCAAGGTAGCTCTGCTTGTTCAGCTTTTCTTGCACTCTAGTTTAAAGTCCTGCTGAGGGGGCCTGATTCCAGCAGCTTGCACCCAAGTGCCAAGGACGCCTACCTACCCTTTCCTTCTTTACAGAATCCTCATCCAGCAAATGAACTGTGTATCAACAGATAAGAGGGAAGAAGGATAGCGGGTAACTGCTTCTCCATTTCACTGGTGACCCATCATGACCTGGGACATCTACTCATTCTGGATAAATAAAAAAAAAATTAAATAAATGTGGTGGTTTGAATAAGAATGGCCTACATAGGCTCACATATTTGAATTGTTAATCACCAGGGAGTACAACTATTTGAAGGGATTAGGAGGTGTGGCATTGTTGGAGGAAGTGTCTCATGGGGTGGGGATGGACTTTGTCAAACCTAGAGTCTCTTTTTCTCTCTGAATACAGATCAGGATATAGCTTCAGCTACTGAGGGCACCTGACTGCATACTGCTATGCTTCCTGTCATAATGGGCCAAACCTCTGAAACTGTAAGCAAGCCCCCATTTAAATGGTTTGTAAGAGCTGCCTTGATCGTGGTGTCTCTTCACAGCAAAAGAATCAGTGACTAAGACAGCCAATAATCAAGGGACTTTGCTAATTTGGAAGATATCCTTCCATAGAGTTAACAGCTCATTGAGGATCAAACTAATACCTGGTGAGTGTTCTCTCTCAAAACACTTCCCTGTCTGGCAGATGGCAGCCCTACATCTTGTTCAGTAAGCAGACATAAACGTTCATATATGTAGCCACAATCCACTCACTGGTACAGCCTATCCAATCCTGTACATAGAGGTCCCACCTCCCTCTGGTATCATGACGGACACTGTCTACCCACTGGGACATAGCGTGCTACCACCCCTTGACTTCTAGCTCCCTAGCCTGTCTCCATGATCCTAATACCCACTGCTCAAGAACAGGATTTCCTCTGTTCTCTGTTGACCTCCAGGGCCAGAGAGACAAATGGGCTTCACCACATAGACATTCCGTGGTCATCTTAACGCCTACCCAGACACTCACTCTGCGGCAGCAGCCTGCAGTGAGAAATCTGTCACTACAAGGGTCACTGCTATTGATCAATACTTCTCAGTGCACATTTAATGAGCACTCCCCAGTTGTCATTCACATTGAACACATGGTTGAGCAGCCCCTGTATCAACATATACCAGCCAGACGCTCTAGGAAATCCATGTCTCTCCTGAATTCCAGAGGAATTTTTACTTAGTTCCACATAGGAAAAAGGTTACTAGTGAATTTTTCATACCTTGTAAGAATGAAATAAAAGCAGAATATTAACACTACCATCAAGAGTAGAAAGAAAATATCGTATTAGGTGATCATGTGGTATAGGGCTCAGCAGATAGACAGGCCCCACCAGGCTTTCCACCATCTATGTAAATGGAGAGCTGCGGACAAGGGAACCCAGGTACTATCTCTCCTTCAGGTAACAAGTAAGCAAACCACCTTCTGTGGACCATGTCCACAAGACATGGGGTCCATTATTTATTCTGAATATAATCTTATTAATTAGCTTAAGGTTAATATGCAAAATAATGCCACCACTGGGGCCAACACTGGCTGGCTAAACTAGGGAGAGAAGTGCAGGGACTCTGGATCACAAATAAGCATGCAATATAGATCTTTTTTTGTTTGTTTATTTTTTGTTTTTCGAGACAGGGTTTCTCTGTAGCTGTAGAGCATGACATAAAACTAGTTCTTGTAGACCAGGCTGGCCTTGAACTCATAGAGATCCTCCTACCTCTGCCTCCCAAGTGCTGGGATTAAAGGCATGCACCACCACTGCCCGGCTATCCTAACACATATTTTAAATACTCGTTTTCATATATACTTTGACCCAAAATTTTTACTTACGACAATTCTCATCCTCTTGTATAACTGACCCAGATTGCACTCAGCCCATATGAGGTCGTGCTCACCTGGGTGGGGCTCACTGGTTCAGCAGGTGAAGTTTTTGTTTTGTTTTTCCCCTGACAAGAGGACTGAGCAGCTGGTCTAGAGACAGACCGAAAAGCAGAAAGGCCAAGGTAGACCTTGGTCCCAGAGACTGCTCAGGACTATCCACAGTCAGCTGAGATCTGATGACCTGTAGCTTCTGGACATGGCAGTATCACAACCAGTCAGAACAACTAAGAATGAGAAGCTCTCTTGCTTTCCTGCCCTTTAATCAAGTGGCAGAGGTTCAAAGTGTGTTACCTAAGCAGGGCAAGACCTCAGCAGGAAAGGACAAGTGATGTTCACTACTCATCTTTTCACAATGACATAAGTGACCAAGAGGGTTTTACAGTAGAGAACAGTATGACAACTCAGAAGATAGGCACGTGAAACTGACATTATATGGAGCACCCAGAGAAGGACTTTTGTTTTAATAAATTTGCTTCTTAGGGTGGCAACATGAAGCCCCACAGTGAAGACACACGAGACAGTGGAGGACAGGGCTACTTAAGGAGTTTTGCCACATTTAGACTCGGCACAACAATCTCCTTGAAGATGGGTACATAGTTGGGGTTTGCTTGCATGGGGCCCTGCTCCAGCGTTTCCATGATAGTCTGTTTCATGTCCCGGCTGGCATCTCCTCGCACTGCCAACAATGCACCAATGTGGTCGTCTCTGTGGGGAGAAATCAGCATGAGCTTCCATCTTCTCTCAGTTCCCTCAGTCCCACAGGTGACACCCACAGGGTAGGGTACCGACAGTCACAAAGGGCATCTCTTCTTTTATAGAATGAGATACCCTAAATGTCATCTTAATTTTCCTCTGCAAAATGCAAAGCACTTTTTAAATTCTGCTCTTCTAACTACTGGTGTCAAGACTGTCTGACCTGGGAAGGGCAACTCTGGAGGGCTTAGGACTCTAGTTCTTCTAAGAGTGGCAATGAGACAAGTTAGCCATGCTCACCCTTAGAGAAAATGGCAGGTTCCTGGAATGGAGGTCATAAAGGCAGGGCCTGGGGCCTGAAGCCAATACAGCACATAGAGGGACACGGAGCAGATACCCATTCCCTCAGCCTGATACTGAGTACACATATATTCAAGGAAGTCCTGGCCACATACGATATGTCAGCTTCCTTCTTTAGATCACCTTTCAGACCACTTCAGTGATCACAACCTTCTCACTCCACTCAACACAGATGCAATACTCAGTCCTTCCTGTGGTGGTTGGAGAGAAAATGGCCTCATAGGGAGGGCACTATTAGGGGGTATGGCCTTGTTGGAGGAAATGTGTCACTTTGTGGGTGGTCTTTGAGGTCTCCTATGCTCAAGCTACACCGTCCAGTGAGAGTTGCTTCTGCTGCCTGTGGATCAAGATGTAGAATTCTCATCTCCTCCATGACTGTCTGCATGCCACCAATCCCTACCATGATAATGGACTAAACCTCTGAAACTGTAAGCTAGTCCCAATTACATGTTTTCCTTTTAATAAGAATTGTTGTGGTCATGGCGTCTCTTCTTAGCGACACTTCCCTATCTTGTACAGTTAGGCTTGCCTTCTGACCACCACCCACTCAGGCACAAAAGCTTGGCTATAAGGTAGGTGTACAAACCCCAGCCAGATTCTGCTAACATCAGGTAGGGCTGGTCGAAGGCTGCACAGATGATGCCTTGGTGCAGCTGCACCACCACAGTTCCAACAACCTTTCTCTTCACATCCAGTTGGGATGCAAGTACTGTCTAACTCCTGATGCTCACAGCTCATCTTCCTAAGGGTAGTAGGCATAGCCTGTTGTACTACTTGCTGCTGGAAGATGCTCAGCCTTTACCTGATGTCTGGATATTTGCTGACCAGAGTTGAGACTTCTAGGTAAAGCAGAGAAGGGTCTGTGAGCTTAATAACCTCTGCCACTGCAACAATTGTATCACAGTGTCCATCCGCATCTTCATCAAATCCCTGGAAAACAGCAGCAGCGTGAGGGACAGTCCTAAACTCAGTCTTCTGCAGCAGTCTCAACTTTATCTTGACATCTCCAAACTCCCTTTCAGGCTGGGCACCTTGCTCTTTCATGTAAACACCCAAGATTCTTTCTAAGCAGGGATTGGGGCCACTCTTACGAGGTGATTTGGTTAGTCACTACTTGGTCTCTAGCCGGGAAAAGGGTCTGGTGGAGTAGTATCTAGTCACAGCCACTTGGGACAAGGAGTTAGGTTATGAGGTTATTAAGCTAGGAGTTAGGCAACCAGAATCTTA